GATCAAGAGCGGCAAAGCAGTGGGACTAGACTATATTCCATCAGACAAAATGAAAGCAAACGTGGCAGTAACTGCAAAAAAATATCTGATTATTCTCTCAAAAGAAATCTTAGTATATTCCGAAACGTCATCTGTATTGAATTTCCTAATGTTCATTACTACCCCAAGCTTTTATCTTTTCATGGAATCGATTTAGACTGGGTTCATTACCTTCTTGTTTTAGTTTACTAAGTTACTCAATTTCTCGGTCAGAGTTAGATTAGCGGACTAGTTGGTTCCAAGTCTTGCAGTGGCTGATTAATAATGGCACAAGCAGATATTGGCATGATCGGTTTAGCAGTGATGGGTCAAAATCTGGTCTTGAATATGAACGATCATGGATTTATCGTACACACGCATTTCTTTATTCTCAGTTTTCTCCTAGGTTTCGGTTTATAATAGAACGGTTTCCAAAGTTAAAGAATTTATGGATAATGAGGCCAAGGGAACAAATATCATTGGGACAATGTCATTAGAAGAATTTGTTCAAAGTTTGAAGCGTCCTAGGAAGGCTATGCTTCTGGTGAAGGCTGGTCAAGCGGTCGATGATTTTATTTCGAAGCTCGTAAGTTCACATTTATGCCAAGTCTCAAGCAAATTTAATCGTATTATAATATACTTGCGACCGTGAGTAATTTAGTTACCAGCTGAGATCGGCTGTGGTGTTCAGAGATCAGAATTAGGTTTTAAAAGTTAATCTAGAGTTCTGAGTTTTGTTTTTCGAACTAGTGTTAGGGTATTCTAATGATCTAATATCAGCTATCTTGCATTGCTTCGTTAATTTGCTGTTTTCAAACTTGGCAAACGTATTTCGAGTTCAGGGTAATAGTGGTAAAGGGGAAATACTTTATAGTTTCATTAAACATGACTACGCATTGAGTCACAACAAATTCTTTAAAGTACTTGATAATGAATATAAGATCTGCCTTTTTATCAGGTATATTTAGTAATCTGGCATGAGCACCATCTCAAGTCCAACTTTCGGGTTCGTAGTAGAGGTTTGTTGATTTTAAGAATTATAAGGGTGGTATATTTCCAGTTTCTTCTTCGATAATAATACTAGACAAATCATCTTAATTCAGGTTCACTAGGTGCCGTCTGTATTTTATACCATAACCAAAAACTTCCCTTTTTTAGATTTGCTTGACCTTACGTCCCCGTTATTGTCTGACCATTACATATGGCTTTTCGTCTAGGCTCTACTGTCATTAGTGATATCCTTACAGTCAACTTATTTCCGCAAAACCTACGAATAACCGAGACCATTTTCATTAAATGATACATCGTACGCGTTTTATATTGAGCATATAAGTACAATACTATCTCCTGCTTGCAGTTAAGTGCCAGCTTCCTTTATCTTCAAGTGTTTGGTTTAAATTAATTCCTGGAAGTTGAAAAACATAATACAATATACTGTATATTTATTACTAATTTTCGAAATTTATTTAAACATCAGCATTGGCAAAAAAGAGCACCTAAATATATATGCACCACATCGAGTTTGTGTAGACTGGGATACTGCCCAGGTGCCCAAACCAAAGCAGGTTGTTTTCTCGGAGCATCACTCCGAGGTAATCTTAAAGATCCAATCCAGAAGGCAGTAAAGCAACGTTAGGAGACCCAGTCCAAAGGTATCCAGTGACCAATAACAGGCTCACACACTGTTCCTTAAAATCCTGGATTCCATGTGCACCATCGGTTTGAGATCAGAGTCCGCCAACTCCCATAAGTAGACCTTCTGTATCAACCAACCCAGTTCAAGCACTGAAAATTCGCTTTTTGTCCTCTGGATCACGTAAACAAGACCCGCCCCGAGAAGGCAGTGGGTAGGACTTCTCTGGCATTGTCCGTATATACGTGGCTCTATGAGGACACTTCAGGAGGGACGGAAAATTGTACTTACCTTCAGCTGTGCTAGGACCTTTGATGGCTGAAGCGGTGTGCATCAGTGTATTGGCAATACAAACATACCTCATCATCTTTGAATCATTAGCATAGCAATATTCTTTGATTTGCAAATGTGTTTGGGCGTTCTCTTTGTGTTTTGTATTATTTCCACTGTGATTTCTATTCCTGAGTATCTCCTTTTGTTGATATCCCGGTTTTCTAATTCCAACTATAACAACCCATATATGTATGTTTATATATATACCTATTTGTTTGACTAGCAGCTTCGTAATGTCATTACGAGGTAAGGTTTGTTCGGGTATTCGTAGTTCGAAACTCTTTGCCTGCAGTGAATATATTCAGTTATCTAACTATGTGGTACACGACAAAGACGTTTCAAAATATGAGACAAAACCTATATCCTAAGTTGATATTTGTGCATCTATAACAAAAGCTAGTCGATTACTAGTGAACGGTTTCACAATATCCAACTTATTTATGAGACATTTGGCTTAATTAGAAACTTTCAACCACCTTAAGTTTCTGAAAATACAGTTTTACATGAGAAATTTTTATCACATACACTTGCGCGAACACACCTGTATTTGTTTACTTGTCACAGGTTCCTTTACTTGAGAAGGGTGACATAATAATTGATGGAGGGAATTCCGAGTATATGGATACTGATAGGCGCTGTTCTGAATTGGCTAAGATGGGCATCCTTTATGTTGGCACAGGTGTAAGTGGTGGAGAAGAGGGTGCTAGATATGGACCTAGTCTTATGCCTGGTGGCAACCCTGAAGCTTGGTAAGTAGCTTTGATACTGTCAGTAACGCACGGGCTTTCTATTTCCTATTATTAATCTACCCGTTTTTGCAACTTGCCGACTATCAACCAAATTGTTATTGTGGATCCGAGAAAGCTTAGATAATCGTAGTAGTGCCTTAATACCATCAAGATTTACCAAAGTTTGGTTTCTAAAATTTTTGAAATATATTCACTTGATTTAAATAATGTATATGTATGTATATACATCAGTCGAGTAAAAATATCATTCGCACATGTAACATCTGTTTAGTGGTTAAATAACTTGACTTGAAATCATTTGGTCCCAAGTTTCAATAATACTCCACGTATTCTGGTTCTAGCATTCAATTAATAGCACTTGACAAACTACCTGGTGATTGGCAAAATTAACGCGGATTTTCTTAACCCGTATTAACTGGACTTATTGTCACTGAATCAAAAGGATACTAGTTTTATGTCATCTTATATAACTAAGTGGTTTTCTGTGACATGTTTTAGATAATGTATGAAATTGGTTATATGGTAATTGGTATCGCTAAGTTGTTTTCTTGCTTGCATCATCAAGTCATGAAACAATTTCTCAGAAACTTGTGTTCACCCTTAAATCTCAGTATGATCTATTGAAGATACCTATGAAATATTATGTATTTTGATACGTGGTTGTAGATTGACTGTCATATAGGAGTTTGAATCGACCCTTCTTGAACTTCTAAAATAAAGGAATAGATAGTCGATAAATGAGTCATGTGAAAAAATACGATATGGCTGAATGATTACTCACAGGATTGCCTTATTGAGTGGAACATGAAGGGTTCAGAGATTGAAAGACATGGCCACTAGCAAGGCCGGATAAGGTTTTTTAACTAATATTATAACATGCTTATAAACGAAATATTAGCACAAAAATAAATACAGTTGAATGTTGTGACATGTTTGGACTACATCATTTCGCAGGTTACTCACTTCCTACGAATTGAGACCTCTTAATTCTTCATCATATCATGAAATACAACAAATAAAAATAGACATAATAGTGTACAAAAGTTATACCAATCATGTTGAAAGTTTAATTGACCTGTTTCTAAGGTTAAGCTTCTTTGTTTTTAAATTCGCATCACTATCACTCTAAACTTTAATGCTTTCATTGTTCTAATTATTCTCTGAAGTTAAACCTAAAAATTATAGTTTTTTAGACAAGACGCGCCCGCCCGATAACAGATCGGAGTCATTTTACATGGTGTCAATAAAGACTCATCATACTTGATCATCCCGATCAGGTGCTGGAGGTGTTATATTAAGAACTGAAGAATGTTAAAGTTTCCAACTTTAAAATCAAACGTGTTCGTTTTCTTATCTTTGCACTGTTACCCTGATGGTCATGTGAATTATACGATCAAAGGAATTGTGATTCAACTTTTCCGATCAAGCTAGCTTATTTTTCATGAATTCGCACTTTAATAGTCAAAAAGTGTAATCTTATGTCACTCTTCCTACGTGATACGTAGTCAAAGGCTTCACAAATTGAATATGTGGACACTACTACAGAATATTAGAACTAGCTGCAAGAGTTATGACTAATACAGGAATACGTTCGATTTTTCCCTGCAAGAAACATTTTTTCACACTATTACTCTACGATGTCACTGAAATAACGTTACTCTGTTTTTTTCCTTACATTTCCGTCATGGCTTTTTTTTAATAAATCTGTACACCTTATTTTTTCAGGCTCATATCAAACCAATATTTCAAGCTATTGCAGCTAAAGCCAAGTATGGGGAACCTTGTTGTGATTGGTATGTTCATTGAAATAGAGTATTTTTTTTTTATAATAATAGAGTTTTTAATGATGAGATTATGAACTAAAAAGATGATCCATTTTTTTGTTTTCATTATTATTTGCTGTACCTTATATTCTAATGATTTTCGTTTAGAAATATCAACAACGTTTTGTCAAGTTCATTTGATAATAATGGCATTTAAAGTAATTAGTCCTTTTGTAAAATTTAGAAAATGTAATAAGAAGATAAAAGTTTATCTTCTTATTACATTTTCCTAAATTTGTACAAAAGGACTAATTACTCTTAAAGCCATTATTATCAAATGAACTTGACAAAACGTTGTTGATATTTCTAAACGAAAATCATTAGAATATAAGGTACAGCAAATAATAATGAAAACAAAAAAATGGATCATCTTTTTAGTTCATAATCTCATCATTAAAAACTCTATTATTATAAAAACAAAATACTCTATTTCAATGAACATACCCAATCACAACAAGGTTCACCAGACTTGGCTTTAGCTGCAATAGCTTGAAATATTGGTTTGATATGAGGCCTGAAAAAATAAGGTGTACAGATTTTTAAAAAAAAGCCATGACGGAAATGTAAGGAAAAAAACAGAAGTAACGTTATTTCAAGTGACATCGTAAGATAGTGTGAAAATGTTTCTTGCAGGAAAATCGAACGTATTCCTGTATTAGTCATAACTCTTGCAGCTAGTTCTAATATTCGTAGTAGTGTCCAACATATTCAATTTGTGAAGCCTCTTGACTACGTATCACGTAGGAAGAGTGACATAAGATTACACTTTTTGACTATTAAATGCAATTCATGAAAAATAGCTACTTATCGAAAAGTTGATCACAATTCTTTGATAGTTAATTCACATGACCATCAGGTAACACGGCAAAGATAAGAACAACACGTTTGATTTTAAGTTGGAAACTTTAACATTCTTCAGTTCTTAATATAACACCTCCAACACCTGATCGATGATCAAGTAAGATGAGTCTTTATTGACACCATGTAAAATGACTCGATCTGTTATCGGCGCGCGTCTTGTCTAAAAACTACAATTTTTAGGTTTTACTTCAGAGAATAATTAGAACAATGAAAGCATTAAAGTTTAAGCGATAGTGATCGAATTTAAAACAAAGAAGCTTAACCTTAGAAACAGGTCAACTAAACTTTCAACATGATTGGTATAACTTTTGTACACTATTATGTCTATATTTGTTGTATTTCCATGATATGATGAAGAATTAAGAGGTCTCAATTCGTAGGAGTGAGTAACCTGCGAAATAGATGTAGTCCAAACATTCACAACACTCAACTGTATCTTATTTCTCTTGTGCTAATATTTCGTTTATAAGCATGTTTATAATATTAGTTAAAAACCTTATCCGCCTTGCTAGTGGCCATGTCTTTCATCTCGAACCCTTCATGTTCCACTCAATAAGGCAATCCTGTGAGTAATCATTCAGCCATATCGTATTTTTTCACATGACTCATTTATCGACTATCTATTCCTTTATTTTAGAAGTTCAAGAAGGGTCGATTCAAACTCCTATATGACAGTCAATCTACAACCACGTATCAAAATACATAATATTTCATAGGTATCTTCAATAGATCATACTGAGATTTAAGGGTGAACACAAGTTTCTGAGAAATTGTTTCATGACTTGATGATGCAAGCAAGAAAACAACTTAGCGATACCAATTACCATATAACCAATTTCATACATTATCTAAAACATGTCACAGAAAACCACTTAGTTATATAAGATGACATAAAACTAGTATCCTTTTGATTCAGTGACAATAAGTCCAGTTAATACGGGTTAAGAAAATCCGCGTTAATTTTGCCAATCACCAGGTAGTTTGTCAAGTGCTATTAATTGAATGCTAGGACCCAGAATACGTGGCTAAGTATTATTGAACTTGGGACCAAATGATTTCAAGTCAAGTTATTTAACCACTAAACAGATGTTACATGTGCGAATGATATTTTTACTCGACTGATGTATATACATACATATACATTATTTAAATCAAGTGAATATATTTCAAAAATTTTAGAAACCAAACTTTGGTAAATCTTGATGGTAGTTAAGGCACTACTACGATTATCTAAGCTTTCTCGGATTCCACAGATAACAATTTGGTTGATAGTCGGCAAGTTGCCAAAAACGGGTAGATTAATAATAGGAATAGAAAGCCCGTGCGTTACTGACAGTATCACAAAGCTAACTTACCAAGCTTATCAGGTTGCCACCAGGCATAAGACTAGGTTCCATATCTAGCACCCTCTTCTCCACCACTTACACCTGTGCCAACATAAAGGATGCCCATTCTTAGCCAATTCAGAACAGCGCCTATCAGTATCCATATACTCGGAATTCCCTCCATCAATTATTATGTCACCCTTCTCAAGTAAAGGAACCTGTGACAAGTAAACAAATACAGGTGTGTTCGCGCAAGTGTATGTGATAAAAATTTCTCATGTAAAACTGTATTTTCAAAAACTTAAGGTGGTTGAAAGTTTTTAATTAAGCCAAATGTCTCATAAATGAGTTGGATATTATGAAACCGTTCACTAGTAATCGACTAGCTTTTGTTATAGATGCACAAATATCAACTTAGGATATAGGTTTTGTCTCATATTTTGAAACGTCTTTGTCGTGTACCACATAGTTAGATAACTGAATATATTCACTGCAGGCAAAGAATTTCGAACTACGAATACCCGAACAAACCTTACCTCGTAATGACATTACGAAGCTGCTAGTCAAACAAATAGGTATATATATAAACATACATATATGGGTTGTTATAGTTGGAATTAGAAAACCGGGATATCAACAAAAGGAGATACTCAGGAATAGAAATCACAGTGGAAATAATACAAAACACAAAGAGAACGCCCAAACACATTTGCAAATCGAAGAATATTGCAATGATTCAAAGATGATGAGGTATGTTTGTATTGCCAATACGCTGATGCACACCGCTTCAGCCATCAAAGGTCCTAGCACAGCTGAAGGTAAGTACAATTTTCCGTCCCTCCTGAAGTGTCCTCATAGAGCCACGTATATACGGACAATGCCAGAGAAGTCCTACCCACTGTCTTCTCGGGGCGGGTCTTGTTTACGTGATCCAGAGGACAAAAAGCGAATTTTCAGTGCTTGAACTGGGTTGGTTGGTACAGAAAGTGTACTTATGGGAGTTGGCGGACTCTGATCTCAAACCAATAGTGCACATGGAATCCAGAATCTTTAAGGAACAGTGTGTGAGCCTATTATTGGTCACTGGATACCTTTGGACTGGGTCTCCTAACGTTGCTTCACTGCCTTCTGGATTGGATCTTTAAGATTACCTCGGAGCGATGCTCCGAGAAAACAACCTGCTGTGATTTGGGCACCTGGGCAGTATCCCAGTCTACATAAACTCGATGTAGTGCATATATATCTAGGTGCTCTTTTCTGCCAATGCTGATGTTTAAATAAATTTTGAAAATTAGTAATAAATACACAGTATATTGTATTTTGTTTTTCAACTCCCAGGAATTAATTTAAACCAAACACTTGAAGATAAAGGAAGCTGGCACTTAACTGCAAGCAGGAGATAGTATTGTACTTATACGCTCAATATAAAACGCGTACAATGTATCATTTAATGAAAATGGTCTCGGTTATTCGTAGGTTTTGCGGAAATAAGTTGACTGTAGGGATATCACTAATGACAGTAGAGCCTAGACGAAAAGCCATATGTAATGGTCAGACAATAACGGGGACGTAAGGTCAAGCAAATCTAAAAAAAGGAAGTTTTTGGTTATGGTATAAAATACAGACGGCACCTAGTGAACCTGAATTAAGATGATTTGTCTAGTATTATTAACGAAGAAGAAACTAGAATACCGCCCTTATAATTCTTAAAATCAACAGAAACTTCTGCTACGAACCCGAAAGTTGGACTTGAGATGGTGCTCATGCCAGATTACTAAATATATCTGATAAAAAGGCAGATCTTATATTCATTATCAAGTACTTTAAAGAATTTGTTGTGACTCAACGCGTAGTCGTGTTTAATGAAACTATAAAGTACTTCCCCTCAAACAATATTACCCTGAACTCAAAATACGTTTCCCAAGTTTGAAAACAGCAAATTAACGAAGCAAGGCAATTAAGCTGATGTTAGATCATTAGAATACCATAACGCTAGTTTGAAAAAGAAAACTCAACTCTAGATTAACTTTTAAAACCTAATTCTGGTCTCTTGAACATCATAGCTGATCTCAGTTGGTAACTAAATTACTCACGGTCGTGAGTATATTATAATACGATTAAATTTTTTGAGACTGGCATAAATATGAACCTACGAGCTTCGAAATAAAATCATCGACCGCTTGACCAGCCTTCACCAGAAGCATAGCCTTCCTAGGACGCTTCAAACTCTGAACAAATTCTTCTAATGACATTGTCCCAATGATATTTGTTCCCTTGGCCTCATTATCCATAAATTCTTTAACTTTGGAAACCGTTCTATTATAAACCGAAACCTAGGAGAAAACTGAGAATAAAGAAATGCGTGTGTACGATAAATCCATGATCGTTCATATTCAAGACCAGATTTTGACCCATCACTGCTAAACCGATCATGCCAATATCTGCTCGTGCCATCATTAATCAGCAACTGCAAGACTGGGAACCAACTAGTCCGCTAATCTAACTCTGACCGAGAAATTGAGTAACTTAGTGAAGCTAAAACAAGAAGATAATGAACCCAGTCTAAATCGATTCCATGAAAAGATAAAGGCTTGGGGTAGCTATGAACATTAGGAAATTCAATACAGATGACGTTTCGGAATATACTAAGATTTCTTTTGAGAGAATAATCAGATATTTTTTTGCAGTTACTGCCACGTTTGCTTTCATTTTGTCTGATGGAATATAGTCTAGTCCCACTGTTTTGCCGCTCTTGATCCGTCCGATGGCCATGCTGATAGTTTCAAGATTAATTTAGATGCCCGTCGGTGCTGATTCCATGTTCAGTGGATTCACAGGCTAATGTGTATTCAAGAGTTCCCCAAAGTGCCCTTCGGCGCAATTATTTCCTCTGACCTCCTTGATCTTGACTGGTCGTTCTCGTCTAGGATAATTTCCAGTGAGCAGCTTTATTGTATCACTTAGTTGTCTCATGTCCCTATATCTTACAGATTTATCGTCTTTTGTTGCTAGGTGTTCAGTATATTTAAGTTTGTCGGCCCCACTGCTACTCTTGGCTTGCTGGATTGTTTCTGTTTATCGGCTTGAGTTTCAGCATTCTCAGATCTTGTTCTACTGTTATTTATTGCTGTCTTATTTTCCACCCTTACTTCAATCTCATCTTGAGCATCGACAGAGATTCATTCATTGTGATGGTGCTTCTTGTGGTCCTAAATCTCCTGAAATACTGAAGTTATGGCTTTCTTGACCCTTTCCCAGTTGTTTCACATATTACATTTCTCTCCATTGAGTTGAAAAATTTTGTAGAGAGCTACCTTGAATTCGCCCATTTTCCCAATATCCCAAAACGGCCCAATTAAGGTTTTGTGAGGTTGTTCATTCAGTCTTTCAACACTTCCTTATTCTCTGTTACATTTTAGAAACCACCAAGTGACGATGTAAAACTATATCTGTTTTTCCTTTTTTTCCCCACGTCCTCCATGGTCATCCCGAACTTTTTACTGATCCAGACATAGTCGATTTGAATCTGTGTGATGTGGTCCAGTGAAATACATTTGGCTTAGTATATGAGTGTGTATCAGTGCGTATAGTCATGAAGTCCTAGGAGGGAAAGAGTATTTCACCAGTTGAAACTTCTTCAATTAGTAAGTTGTGTGTATACAAATTTACCAGATATGATCTATTCATTCTTGATTTTGGAAACAGCCTACAATTAGCTACAAACCGTGCGGCACATAAGATATTTGCAATTTAGTTTGAAAATAATATTAGCATTCATCGGTTTATTATGTCATCTAAATGGAAAGTTGGCTGCTCGATGAAGCGACCATACGATAAGACCTTACGTGTTACTGCTGTGAAATGTTTTAGTAAAAACTCGCAGATAAGACAAAAGATTGATCTATTTGTGGGCAATGTTAATCATTTGAGAGCATTTTACGACCTACTTTGGGACTCAAAAGACGACCCGGAAAAACGAACGACAGTAAAAAATTGAACATTCAATTCACAAAAATTTCAAAGTGAACATAATGTGTACTAGTTATTTAGAGAACACTGAAATACGCTGGGATGTAATGTACGTCTGCACAACAATTTTAAATCTACTACTAAACCAGAAGGCTACAAAAACACAGTTTGTACTACCACCGATGATGCTTGTAACGTTTAAACATCAAAAGATGATACTCGTGAAAAATGAAGCTTAAACAAAAAATTGCTCACAATAGGCGAGTTTGGAACTGGCATCGTCCCCCATTACTGCTGATATTGCCTTCCGTGCGGTAGTTACTAAGCTTCTACGCCGATGCTCATGTAGTGAATCCACTTTTATGAAGCGGACGCGGTTTGTCCAATATACTATGAGGGACTTTCTGATCTTGTTGCTACCATCTTTTCTATAGCTGCTCTTTAATTTCGCCCACTTTCCTGGTGTAACTTTGGTGTTCTCTCGACACCATTAAATCGTCAGCAAATATATTCTTTGACCTGGAATTCACGGTGACGGTTAATCACGACTCACTCACTAAAATTGGTGAGCTGACGTTTTATCCATTGAAGGCGATTACGGTGAGTCTATTATTCAACTATCCTCAAGTTCATCCAGTTACGATACAATTATTAATGTCCTCTCTTTCCCGTCACCCAAGGTTTCTCGTTCATTTTATGTGCACGATCTTCGCACTAAAGCCAGGTACCTAATGGTCAAAGGTGCCTAAGTTTCTGTCGTACTGGCTGGTAGCAGCAAGTCCTATGAATTGCTATTGGATTCACGTAGGCTGCATTTAATCTATACTCTATCGAATATTCTATCCAAGAGTTTAAACGCGCAAACAGATGTGTACCGAATCACCGGTATATTTTTATGCTTCATTATTTACTTCATGTTATATTTGATAAGTAAGGAAACCGAGGAGATTCTATTGGTGATTAATAGTTTGGTAAGCTAAATCATCACCTAAAGACACTCAGTCCCGGCAAAACCTCGCCGACTGGCACTGGACAATCCTGTTTCCGCTAAGCGTGAGTTCGACAGTTTACTTGCTATATGTATTACTTTGTCTTTCTCACAGTTCTTGTGCGTCCACTCACGATAATAACTAGTATCTAGTGGTGTTCATAGTGAATCTCGACTAGGTCACAACTAAACTCTTTTCTGAGTTGGGTCTGACTGTTGAACATTTTGAAAATGCGGACTGTCATAGCCACTTACCATTTTACATACTTTGATATAATAAGCAAATAAAAGCACTAGTGATTATCAAATTCTTAGGTGACTATGTACAAATGGGATAAATAATAATGGCCGTTGAATTTCATCAAATTCCATAGATTTAGCCCTATTGAGATCATTTTTAAGGCCAAATACATCAAGTTTCTGAATGATCTCAGAGTCCAAAGGAAAAGTATCTTTGCCGTATATACATCGCCAAAGAAATTTGAAAATGTCTGACGCTGACCATAACTCTCTTCCACTAACAAAAAGGAACTACTCTCTTTCTTTATTCTGTCTCGTTTCCTAGTCCGCTAGTTTATGTGTGATTATAAGCCTTTAAGTTATTCCGCAGAATCATATGCAAACCTTCCTTCATACAACCCCCTATACTTACGGAGGACTGGAGTTCAAGCGTTTTGAATTTCCCCGTATTTCTTCCCCTCACTTCCCAGCATCCTAAATCCATCTCGTATCCTTCTTTTAAGAAGAAAGGCATGAAATTCCATACTGAACCCTCTTCCGTAGAAATTCATATTCTATCATTGAGCGATTTCTGCTTTTATTGTTCAATCTACCGAGAATTTCGAGAGTATAAGTCAGTCAGTCAGTCAATTGCAATGTAGAACTTCGTACGTAAGTACATCAGTTCATGTCGCCATACCACATCAGCACAGAGGTGTAGTTGTCAATTCAAATCCAATAGCAGAAGAGGTAGTAAAGGTATTAAAATTAATCGGAGAGGTTAGTATTAGAAGATATTATTCAAGAAGTACGATTAAATGATAAAAGATTAGAAAGTCAAAACTAGAGGTGTTGAAGAACCCAGAAGATTAGGATTTGAGAGAACACAAAGAATAAATGCACCGGCGCCGCTGGAACGATTTTGAGCCATGTCATTCAAGGTCTCTAACCATCGATTATTATTATCTCGCGGACCCCAACCAGGTAGTCGACAATTACCGACATGGCTAAGTCCACTCGTCAATGACTTCATGGATTTATGCCATGTTTTGATCTGGCCGCCCCTAACTTTCTTCCAACCTACACCTACATCGCGAAACATAGCTCGACGAGGAAGTCGGTGGTTAGGCATACATAACACATGTCCCAACCACCTCAACTGATGAAGTTTCAACATTTCATCTACTGATTTGCCATCCTTACCTTAAACTCGTTGCCTAACGATAGCATTGCTAACTCGGGTGTCCCACAATATACGGGCAATGCTTCGAAGACACCTATGATCGAAAACCAGTAACCTACGAATATCTTCTACTCTCACTGGCCATGTTTCACAGCCATAAAGTAAGACGGAGCGAACCACTGCGCAGTACACTTGTCCTTTAGTCAGCTAACGGATATCTCGCCTACGCCATAAGTGACATAGGTTGGCAAAAGCCAATCGAGCCTTCTGTATCCGAGCTGAGACTTCGTCAGTCACCAGGCCATCTTCACTGATCAGACTCCCAAGATAAGTGAAGCGGTCTACACGTTCGACTACTTCACTCCCTATCACTAGTTCAGGTGCCGACGCAACCCAGTCTTGAAGCAACATTTTGCATTTCGAGGGGGAAAACCGCATCCCGAACATGCTTGCATTGTTGCTTAGGGTGGTCAGAAGACTGCATTTTGTCAGCGTCTTCACGAAGTAGGACAATATCATCGGCATATTCTAAGTCAATAAGCGAGCCACCTGGTAGAAGGTCTACTCCTGAAAATTCAAACGAGGATAAGGACATATCTAGGAGCATGTCAATGATAAAATTAAACAAGAATGGAGAATCGAGTGTATAAATTATTGCATGTTTATTTTATAAATGTTTCTTTTCACTTGAGCTGGCCAGAAGGTATGGAAATCAATGACCAGCACTTCGTGGTCCAATATCCAATATCTTTTTCACGAGCTAGTGTAAACCAATTGATTTCTTTGCGCTCGATTCTTGTTCTCTCGGTACGGTTCCAGGTGTTCGGTGATGTCCAACGGATGAAGATCTGGCCACTAGACTGTCTATTTCTAGTCAGTTGGCAGTTGGTTGTAAGTTAGTATGTCTCGGAATTTCAATGAAAACATTTGTTTCAGGGCAGTAGGGTTTCTGGATATCAGCAGCTGTGACATTACCAGACTGCAGATCAGTTAGTTGCAATGGGGAGAGTAATAAGGATAATAAGGATAATGTTCTAATGCTAATATGAATAAAATTTCAGAACTGAGTAATATATAGATGAATTTAGTTTGTTAATT